CGACACTACATTATGTCATAGTCGATACATAAGTGACGTACAGACAACTGAGTGCTTATTCACATTCCAATATCTTCAGACCTTCGGCCATTTAACACAACGCAATAATAAAGCTATCACTATAACAGGCAGTGGAGGCCCACAGGGTTGTGAGACGTCGAGGCTCCCACATTTTCTAGACACTCGGCTCACAGATGGCGGTGAGGTTGTCAGCCTTATGCGCCGACCGCCCTTTACCCCCAGGAATATTCCTGGTACTCATCTCTGTTAGAGGCTGAGTCGACCCCAGAGCCATAGCGCGAATGGAAGGATTAAGTAAATTGAAAAATTCAATGACCTAATGGTGAATCGAACCCGCGACCCTCCGGCTGTAGCACAGTGCCACAACCAGCTACGCTACCGCGTGACCCTGGGAAATACAAAGTCCGGGCATGAAATCTGAAGTAATGAGGATATTCAGGAAACCATGGAGTATATAATGAGAATAATATTAAAGTGGATACTAATCTTTAGAAGCCAGAGATTTATTTTAATATTTAAAAATCCAGTCGCTGCTGTACATAAAATACACTGCTTCTCCCTTACTAAGATGCCGTTCAGGAGAACGATCCTGTCTATTCTCAGAAACAAACGGGACTTAAATGCAATCTGTTAGTAAAGTAGGCCTATATGCTTCCTTAATGTTAAAGCAGGTGGTATTAAACTGAACCATAAAGAAATAAATTGCGCGCATTAGTATCTAGAAAGGGACCAGTGCCGGGCTCTTGTGAAAACTATAAAAAAATTGGGTCTCATTGGAATAGGGGAAATATCTCGACTAGGTGAGCTACTATAAGCTTTTCAAAAATAACTCTTCAGGACGGATTAGGGTATCGGTAAAGCAGTAGGCTACTATTCTGTAGCAGCTCGGCTTAATTTTCGGTCAGGCCACCGACTATGCTAACGGAGGATTTTCATGATTTTCTTCAGTCACGAACATGCCAAGGCCACTTCCTTCCAATCTATCATTCATTTGTAACTGTATCTTTCGATGTTAGTACTCCATCTAATAACAGCGTTGTAAAGTGATCCAGAAGAAATGGACAAAGGAACTTTTCTCCGTGGAAGCAGATACGTCATGGTTTTTCAAATTGTGGGTCGCGACACCCCTTGCAGTCACGAAAAAGTTGTAATACGAAATTAAATTCGGGGAATTCTGTCACTACTGAGTTTAGAATGCTCAGCTATCTGTCCATATATACAAAATTTAAAGACGAAATTGCTGGTTCACGACAATTTGAAAAATTTGGCCCCTCACAATGAATGACGAATACAGCCCAACAGTTCTGACCGTGGTCATCTCGTCTGTGAGCTGAGTCATTCTCGTGAAGCTAACGTTTGCGCAGACAACTCAAGACATTCCCACAACACAACGCAACGTAACATAATGATTTCGTAAGAGTTTAATTAATTAATTAATAATTAATATTGGATTTCGGGCTCACAGGCAGGTCTTCTGAATTGTAACGCCGTACACTTCGAAAAATCCTGAAGTCGCACTACGGCCCTGGGGTCGACTCAGCCTCTAACATAAATGAGTACCAGAAATCTCCCTGAGGGTAAGGGGCGGCCGGAACGTAAGGCTGACAACATCATCGTCATCTGTGAGCCGATTGTCTAGAGTATGTAGGAGCCTCGACGTCTCACAACCCTACAGGCCTTCACGGCTTGTTACAGGGATAGCTTTACCTTATTACCGCCGAATAATACGCGTTGCTAAGTAACTACAGAATGAATGCTTCCACTGGTAGGCTGATGATATCGGCCGGCGTGGGCGTGACGTCAGGCTTCCCCGTAGCTGAGGCGGTAGGTCGCCGGTTTCCCGCCTCGGCGCCCCGGCTTCGAGCCGATGTCAGTTTATGTGGTATTAATGGTGTACAAAGTGACACTGGGTCAGGTTTTCTCCGAGCACAGGCGATTCCCGCACTTACGGTACAAACGGTTTATGGAGAACCGTCTTGCGATCTAAATAAAAACCGACACAGCTCAACATCGTTACGCAAAATTCTCCAGTACATATGTCCGGCGGTTCCCGATTTGTTTTGTACGAGCGCACGGACAGATTGAACCGCCTACGTGGTCTAGAGGTCAGACTTCCTGGTTACGGATCCAGAGGTCGGGTTCGATTCCCGGCGCTACCAGATTTTCTGAGAAGTAGTGGGTTTGGAATGGGGTCCACTCAGTCTCGTGAGGATAATTGAGGAGCTATTTCAAGGATATATCGGCTCTGGTCTAGAAAACCTAGATTAACGGCCGTGGGGATCCGTTGCCCTCATCACGCGACACCCTCTGTCCACTAAACTTGGCACTAACTTCGCTGACAAGCGGCGGTCGCTCGGTCGGTATAGTTGGCTTGCAGATTACAGGCCACGAAGGGTTGTTTTTTGGTACGGACAGATTGTGCGAACTCCATGGATGTTCCGTAGGATTGCAAAGGTGCCTACAAGTTCTATGTCAACTTCGTGGTGTACATAATATATATTATTAGATTATTCTCAATTGTTTATCCTATCTGTTGCTCGTTTTATTTGAATTCAATCTTTTAAATTGAACATTATAAATTCGTAGTCACTTTACTACAACTACAAAAATTAAATAAATTATGTATTTAATTAAATACATTCGGTTAATTTATTTAAATGAAAAAGCCTCTGAAGTGATAGCTATACTTATGCCTGTAACAGCTCCCTGTATTGGGCAGATATTTCCAACTATAATATGCCTCTTGTAGAACCTACATAAATCCAAAATTCTAGTCCCGGTCATCCGTTCTGAGGCTCCTGTTGTTTGGAACTTGTGTGGAGTTCCCTTGACAAATGTATCCGGCTAGGATTATTACTTAAACAAATATTTATTTTCTCCATATACATGTAATTCCATTTAGGCGCCTATTACAATTTTCCAGCCGCATAAATGAATATGTTAGGCCTCTTTAAACATTTTTTTTTATTAAATTTAGCCTTTATACGGACACTCAAACAACACAACACTCTGTGAGGTTTGACAGTCTGCTTGCGGTGGATATACAAATAATTGTCTTTCGGGCTACGACGCCGTGTATTCTGGTAGATATTGTGGTATATTTGCTCAAAGCAACATTTTTGTGGAACCAGAACAGCCTGACGTTACTAGGCAGCGGCCCGTGAACAACAACAAATTAATGGTGTTTTCTGCGCGGTATTTTCCGCTGGTTGTACATGCAACAACGGAATACGTCATACCACCGCTAAACAACAATAGCACTGCAACAGACGAAAGTCGTTTTCTATGCGGTCCTAGTCGAGATGTTATAAGCAGGGCAGTTAGTGAGGAGTTAGTGAAGAGTTGGTGTGATAGTGAGTTAGAGAACTACTGCGGTTCAGTCATTGGGAGCTGTTGCTGTTAGAAACCGGTAGCTGAGGCACGGGGATAATTCTGGAACCCCGAGGAAGTGGAACGTCCGACGTTGGAAGCCACTACCAGGCGACAACCGGTGAAGACACAGCAGCCTGAGAAGACATAAGTGTCTTCCGTTTCCGACCACTCCAGCACTGGGATCATGTGTTCGAATTCCGCTCGGGGTAAGGAAGTAGGCCTATATCCTCCTTTTTTCCTACATTCGTGTAGGTAGATCCCTTGCGATGGGCCGATCCCTCTTCTAGAGATTCCAACCGCTTGTTTACAGATAAGATACATGGTCTCAGAAGTTAATTAGGATTTCGAACAGGCAGAAGAAACTAATCTGCGAGGAAGAGGACAAAAATTAAGTATTTAAGAGCGACCTTACGAATATTGTGTTTAGACATCACACTGCATGTATATAACTATACTGGTACGGGTAAATATTATAACATGTTTCGGCCCTTTCTCTCCATCCTCAGGTACATTAATCTTTTTACTTTTACTGTTATGTGTCCCTACACCTACGCCATAGCTCAAACAGTTAGTCGCTGGCTTCCCACCGCGGTGGCCCGGGTTCGATCCCGGGTCTGGTCAAGTGGGATTTGTGGTTGATAAAGTGGCGCTGAGGCAGGTTTTCTCCTAGCACTTCGGTTTCCCCTGCCAATCTTCATTCCACCAATTGCTCCACAATCACCCTCACCTATCATCTCGGGCTGGTACAATAGGCCAGAAGTGGCCGCGGTACAAGGGACTTAGTCCCACCACATTAGCAATAAAAAAATATATAGGAGAGCCTGTATAATTCTGCTGACTATTTGCACAGAGCTGAGCCCTTCTTATGAAGCCGCCCGTTACGCGGCTACGCAACAACTTCGCAACAATTTTTGGAACCCGAAGGTTCATTACAGTACTCACAAGAGCACTTCACTCCATCTTATGTCTCTAAGATCCATTTTAATATTATTCACCCACTTACGTCTGTCTTCCTAGTGATCTCTTTCCTTGTGGCTTTTCCACCAAAAACCCTACATACATTCCTCTTCACCCCATTCGTGCTGTACGCCCTGCCCATTTAGTCCTCCTTGAATTGATCATTATAATTAATTAGTATTACCTAATTATTCTACATAGATATTACTAATTTTAGTACTGAGAAATTAATCTTATTCTTTTTTTTTTGTATGTTCCGAATTTGACCGCCTCTGTGGTCTAGTGGTCAGAGTTCCTGGCTACAGATCCAGAGGTACCGTGTTCGATTCCCGGCGCTACCAGATTTTCTAAGAAGTAGCGGGCCTGAAATGTGATTCACTCAGCCTCGTGAGGATAACTGAGAAGCCATTTCAAGGATATAACGGCTCCGATCTAGAAAATTGAAATTAACGGCCGTGAGAATTCGTTGCGCTGACCACACGACACCCTCTATCCGTAAAAGTTGGCACTAACTTCGCCGCCAAGCGGCGGGCACTCGGTCGGTATAGTTCGCTTGCGGACTACAGGCCACGGAGTTTTCTTGTATGTTCTGAATTTATTATTATCACTCTTGTCTTATAGGCCTACACAAAAGTAACTGTGTTACTTACCCGATCATACTGATGTGAGAAAGGTGGAAATGGAGTTGTCCTGGCAACGGCAGAGGCCGACGTACTTGGGCGCTGATACAGGTAAGGATAGTAAGCCTGATACACCACCTCAGGGCAACTCATAGTCATTGGCGAACCAAAGAACTTATATTTCACTTTAGAACACGCTTCAATACATACTATGAGTCACAAGTTGGTCATTAACAAATAATTAATAATTAGGCTTAAATGTCACAATTAACTGGCCGCCTACTGCATGAGAAAATCTTTTGATGATATTTCAATTTAATTTCTATCAATCAACTGTAAAAATATCATGTATAATCTGATTTGGTTCCAGTTCAAATTAATTAACCTTCCACACTGCGCGGAACATTTAACTGGCAGGAAGAAAATTCTTCTATAATCTTACTACATTTTATGTGTTACGTGCCTAATTAATACATTTCACGAATTTCAGTATCACTATTAATACCACTCTATGATCTCCAGTACCATATAATGTTTTTTTTTAACAGGCCAGCCTCATATACCAATAACTATTTATAAAGCAGACAGAATATAACAAATTCACGTTCATGTTACGCAACTATTGTGCTGAGCTTAAGTTATCTACGCTTATAACCTCACTTTATACACCCTCAAAAAAAAATACCTATATACACAAACCCACAACTTCACTTTTGTTTATTTATGTTAATAATAGTAACGAACGGTGGTGACACACGGTGATAAGTAAACAAGTAACCAAAAAAAAGTATCATAAAACACTGTAGCCCGTGATGAAAGCTTGATGGACACACCGCGAACAGATACATACACACACTGACTCCAGTACTTTGCCACTGGTCCAGGCAGAAAACAAAACAGAACGTCTCCCTGAAAATGTTCAAAATATCCCTCCCCACCACAACACTTCCCCCACTCCAACTCCTGAACTAGGACAACCCATTCTGCCCCACACTCCATAACAATCAAAGTCCCAACCCCTAATCTGACGTCACAGCCAATGAGAAGTGCGCTCTGAAGTGATCTCCAACCAATGATTGACATACAAAGTAACTCCAAACCACGCCTATCATTCCTCTTCATTTTTATTTTTCGCAAGCATGTTCCGTGTTTTTCACGAGTATTGTTGTCTACAGTCCGACCAAGCAACTTGCAACTCTCAAGAACAAACTTTACCTTCAAGAACAGTAGGATTCAGCGGGGCAAGACAATTACTATTAGGCCTACTATAATTATCGCAATTCTTGTTTAAAATATAATATTAATTCCTGTACAATATTGTTCGGCGGTGAATATTTTTGTTGCTGTACGAATGAATTATGTTGTTGTTGTTGTTGTTGTTGTTGTTGTTGTTGTTCCCATTATTATTATTATTAACTTAATGTTGGCAAAACCAAAGTTATGTTCTCCAGGAAAACTATTTGATATACGAATACATTTTTTTTTTTCACTATAACTCGAACTTATTCAGTGAAAGACGTTGGAATATATTTTGATTTTAACCTTCATTTTCATAATCACGTTCATTTTATATTTTCATATTGTATTAAATGTTGGGTATAATTCGCAGTGTCACCTTTAACTATTCAACCCTTGGATGCATGTTCATACTATACTTTACTTTAGTTAGATCCAAGGTTGAATACGCCTCAGTGGTTTGGAATTCGATTACGTCTAGTAATGTAAACAACCTGGAACGCATTCAGCAGAAGTTTACGGCCCTCTGTTTTAAAAGCGTTTTCTTTTTTCTTCAAGTAGATTACTGTTATGATTCTGCTTTACAACAATTGAAGTTGCACATCTTGCATAAGAGGAGATATCATCTTGATGCGCTCTTCCTTATTCAAGTTTATCGTGGTTCTGTACTTTGCCCTTCTGCTTTGGAAATTGTTGGCCTTCGGGTCCCTGTTCGATATATCCGAGACTTTCCTGTGTTCGGTGTTTGCTCCTCATGTAAATATTGTCTCTCCGCTAGATGGGCTTCAGCTGGTAATGCTGTTTGTAGGGACAGAGGTGTTCTGAATTGATGACCGAATTTAACAGACTCTTTGATACAGCACGTGAATACACTTTACAATGCTCTGTTAAACACACATTATTGTCCACAGTCACGTGTTAACATCCGCTGCTTGGTAGCGGCTTTCAACGGAGACCGTTCCCCTTCCTCTGGGTTCCAAACTGCCTCCCGGCTTCAGCTACCGGCTTATCATAGCAACAGCTCACAACACCATAACCCCAGCGATTATCGAATTAACTCACTAACTCACCAACAAGTCCAGTCCAGTAACTTATGCTGGCCCTCGCCAGAACAGTCGTTCTTGTTTTCAGGCCTCCTCTGCCCCATTTGTGTTTGTTGGGGTGACCATGTGATCGCCACTAAGGCATTGCTTGGCAATGGCCGTTGTTTGTATGGTCATTGCTTAGCAACTGATGTTGTACAGTTGCTTATTTCGAGGTCGTTTCCTAGTAGCGGGTCTATATGCCACAATTTAACTGCCAATCCGGTTATCCCGACTGGGAATTCCATTGCCTCTTTCAGTCATTGCAAATAATTGTGACTTGTACCTAACACTGCATGGCATTAATCAGCATCGTACCTTCTTAACACTACCGCAATTCAGTATAAAATGGGCACTTCTGTAGCGTTCAGCCGTACGGAATAATAATGTGAGTCTTCCTTAATCTGCACCTAGTTAGTTTCCATTCATTCATTCAACAGTGCCTCTACAGCCCTATGTTGGGACCTGGAGGCTTTTCCATTTTCGTAACTCTATACACAGTCGGTAGAACTCCTTAAATGGGGGATCAGTTCGTCGCAAGGTCCCTACGTACACAGGACAACACAAACAGAATAAACGCACACAATACAGACATCCACGCTTTCAGTGGATTCGAACCCAGGACCCCAGTGTTCAAGTGAGCGAAGACAGTTCATGTCCTAGACCGCGAGGCCTGATTAGTTTCCACTTCCTTTAAATCCATTTATCCATCTCGCTGTCTATCTATCTATTTATCTATCTATATAAAGCACAGCAGATCACTGTAGATCGCGGTGCAAGGGCCGAGAAGGCCCACCCCTTATACATTCATCTATCTATTTCTCTATCCATCTGTCTATCTGTCTGTATATCTATATCTATCTAACTATGTATGTATGTATGTATGACACAACAGCTCTTTGTTGGGCTTTCGTCGTTTTTCAGTTTCGTAATGCTGTACACAGTCGGCAGGACTCCTTGGACGGGGGATCAGCCCATCTCAAGGCCCCTACCTACACACAGAACAACATAAACAGAATAAACGCACACAAATATTCATGCCTCAAGTGGGGTTAGAGCCCACGATCAGAGTGTTCGAGTGAGCGAAGACTGTTCATGCCCTAGACTGCGCGGCCACTGTGATCAGCCCAATTAGTTTCCACTGTCCTTTAAACAGATCTTCGTAACAAAACGGTGACGCTTGCAGAATGTCTGCCCCCCCCCCCATTTATGTACAACACAATACAGCAAGAGTCAACATAGATGGTTCAATTTATTTTATCAGACGCTGTCAAAAATGGTGAACTTTACGACATTTCAACATCACGATAATTGCACGAGGAAAGAAGAAACACGTGAATTTGAGGAATGGCATTGCCGACGGCTTGTGTTCTGGGAGCCTCCGACTGTAGACCAGAACACGTGTTCTTCTGAAGAAGCAGGTCGAGCAATGCTTTGTGCGGCAACGTGTGAGGATCAGCTGATAAAACCGTACCAGTTCTGAAATTGGCTACGTGCATCAAATCTGCCTCAATGCATCCAAATAAGGGATCCCCTGATCCGCTGGACTAAGTATACAATTTAATGCTAATTACATTTTACAGAACAATAACAGGCCCACTGGTAAGATATTGTGTGAATATCTTGTAGACATTTAGGCTGTGTTACATTCCGCAGTATAGCCTAGCCTATTACATACAAATTACTTTGTGAGACGTCGAAACTCCCAAATTATCTAGACCAGGCATGTCCAACTTCAAACAGGTTGTGATCGACTTTTAGTGTCAAACCTGCCAGTGATCTACCACCCCCTCCTATCGTCGTACCGCGCTTTAAGCAAAAATATTGGTAAAAATAACACGACACATGATGTTTGTTGCAAAAGCAACATACATTGAAAGTACAGACTACTTTAACACGTATTTTCCCTTCAAAATCTGAATATAATCTTATATTACAAGTGAATTTACATGCTTTTCACGCATAATTTCCTTATAGGCCTATGATATCGACCAAAAATCGTCCCGCGATCGACGCGTTGGACATGCCTGATCTAGACAATCAGCTCAGAGATGGCAGTGAGATTGTCAGTCTTAAGCCCCGGCCGCTCTTTACCCCCCAGGAAAATTCGTGGTACTCATTTCTGTTAGAGGCTGATTGGACCTCAGGGCAATAGTACGACTGGAAGGATTAGGTCAATTGAGAAATCCAATTATGTCATAGGGATTCGAACCCGCAACATTCCGGCTTGTGTCATAGTGCCTCAACCAACTACGCTATCGCGTGCCCCGATATTTTAATGTAATTATTTTTAGGATAATTTCCTTATATAGAAAAAATAAAACAGGGCTTATGGCATCACCTTGCTGTCTGTCTCTGCATCCGTCTCTCTCCATCTGTCTGTGTATCCCTTCTAATTTCTTGTGCTTATGAGATCACCTTACTTTCTGACTGTGTCCCGCTTTTATTATTATTATGGGGGGGGGGTTTCTACGCGGCAAAGGTAAAGCTATCCCTGATACAGGCCGTGGAAGACCATAGGATTGTGAGACGTCGAGGCTCCCACATTTTCTAGAAAATCGGCTTACAGATGGCGGTGAGGTTGTCATCTTTACGCGCCGGTCACCCTGTACCCTTAGGAAGATTCCTGGTACTCATTTCTGTTAGAGGCTGAGTCGAGCCAAGGGCCATTAGGTAAATTGAAGAATCCAATGACTTCATCAGGAGTCGAATCGGTAACTTTCTGGCTTGTAGCATAGTGCCTGCAACAACTACGCTACCATGTACCCCTGTTTTCTATGCGGTCCGTATATTATCACAGGAAAGGAGGAGGTTGGTTAGTTAGTTAATTAATTAGTTAGTTATTTGGAGAGGGTGGGTTTCCCCATGCACTTAGACCTGTATTGGTCCATTGTGCTTCCCTCTATGATTTCTACCAGTCTCTATATTCTACCGGTATTGGTGCTTACCATCAGTCCCGCCCAGCCAGCGAGACCGGCTCTAATGGCTGAGAAGTATCTATAATGCTTCCCCCATCTACCGGAGGTATTAGAGACTGCTGTTGGGCGGGAAACGTCCGCAATTTTGGCTCAGTGACCTCCTTTGGAGGTATGAGGTTCTTTTACGTGCCGTAAAGCTACGACACGGGACCCACGGCTTAAAGTCCCTCCCGGCGGACTTGTTCCCTGAATTTTTCCGCCCTTAAAAATTCGACGACCTCCGCCGGGTATTTGAACCCGCGTACTACGAGTCATGAGGTGGGAACCTTACCTCTAGACTACGGAGGCCGCTAAAGGATGAGGTTAGGTCTTCTTGTTATATTTACGGCATACTTGAGGTCATCCAACAGATCAAGGTATGCAGCTCACCTGTGGGAAGATAAGTGAACAATGACCCGGTAAGGATATGGAAAGAGGCGATTGTGGCGAAATTTTAGCCAGACCTACGAAGGACATTTATTTGGAGGTATTGACCACACCCACGAATATCCTGTGAGGATATATCAGGTTTCCGGGCCGGGATTTGTATTCAGGACTTCCACACACATTCTGTATCGACGCTTGAATCAAAACGGCCACGTTTA